CGCCGTCTGCGGGCATGCCCGTGTTGATGCACGAATGTGTATTTTTGCCGTTGCTGCTTTCTCGGTCAATGTAATATTGCAGACGCACCCCTACAATTACGAGGCGAATTGGAATGGTCCAGAAAAACGCGTTGTTTGGAATAGCAGTGGGGGGGTAAAAGTTCATGCAGATACGGGGTGGTTTTGATAAGTGGTTCCAGATGTTTTTGCCCATGGTTAAGAGATGCCAAGTTTTTTGGAAGATGTTCGCAGCCAAAACGCATTCTTCCGTACGTCGCATTTCTGTGTAATTTCGCATGTGGTGTTGCATTATGTCCGGGATGATGCACGTCTTTTTATTTTTACCGTACCTGTTTTGATATTGGAGTAAATGGTTATTTTCGAAACATCCCCATGCCGTTGAAATGTTGTCGTCCGTTTATGTCACCGGTAGTAAGTCGCGGCGGGGCTGATGGTCAACATTAGGAAATGTTAATACCGATAACGTAATCCTATCGATTTCAAACTGGTCGGGCGTGGCGACCTAGTGGCGGCGTGTATTTAGTCACGTAGCAACTGGCCGGTCGTCCTAGCAACGATACATGGCCAATATTTTTGGGTTGGGCCGCTCCATAGTGTTAGTGGAGCAGCTCTTTGTAAACATGGACAATATTTTTGAGCAACCCATCAATGTGTTCTGCCTCGTGGTCAGATGTGGTCTGGGGCTGGTAAACCGCACATACAGTACTAGTAGATCGGGTAATTTTATGATTTGCTAGTTGTAAAGGCCTGTGTTACACAATCATGCTTTCGGCCGGATTGATGTGCAACTGTTACTAATTGCAGGGACTGCGCTAATGCCGACCAGTCGCGCTGTCCTGATACACCGCGAATGTGCGAGTGTTCCCTGTAGACAGTCCCGGGAGTCATTTTTTTCGCACATTCCAGGAGCCAAACCAAAATACGTTCATGAACCGAGTCCAAAAAACCGAAACGTGAAAATCGGATGATCAGACCTGATGTACATGTACATTTCTCTTTCTGTAGATTGTACACACAATACAAACATCTTTAGATAATCTGGCCATGGCAGGTAAAAAAAAAAGTAACCCTGAATCATACTAGATTAGCGTAAATGCATGTTTATGCGTTCAAAACAAGAAAAGAATTTGTTTCTCGGTATTAATCTCTTGAAACACGGCGCTGAATATTGACGCAAAAATATTTCGGGCATCGCGCGCCCTTCCCCAAATCCCGCGTCACGTGTCGGCATTTCGCATCTCTGATTGGTTGTTGCGACTTAAGATGACTGAGCCGACGCGCGTTTAAACAATTTTTCTTTGTT